TTTACGAGTTATTAACGAAAAACAGTGACCAATCGGAGCGCGAGTGCGGCCGGCGCTCCGCCCTAGCGGCCAATGGCGCGTCGCGCCGGCCGTCTGACGCAGCGACAGTGGTCGCGAGAGCGGAGCGTCAGCCGTACGCGATCTTCCATTGGTGATAACTGTTTTTCGTTAATAACTCGCAAACGAAACGGCGGATCGCATTTGCGCAAAGGAAAAAGTTACTTCAAGTCACCTCAGGAACCTCTTACGATAGGTACCGCACAACGTCCTCGCCTCGCCGTGCAGAAAATCGTGGAGCTACGAGAGACACCTTACCAAATTGTCCTTGTTCACCTGGCGAATGCACTCGAGGAAGGTGCAGTAGATCGTCATGGGGTTGGCTTTGGTGTTCAGCGTGCTGGTGGCGTTCTGTCGTCAGAATCCTCGTTGATGATCGATCGAAAACACGATCGCAACGAAATAATACGATTGTAACAAAAATGCGAGTTCACGCGAGCTTACGTTCAGGTACTGTTGGCAGTGCGAGTAATCGGTGTTGTTCAGGTACAGGTCCGCGCAACTTGACATAGCCACCAGCGTGGGGAAGCTAAGGGGTTGGTTGGTGGCCCTGAAGAAGCAGCCGTAGCAGGCGTCCTGACGAATTGCATCCGAGCCTTGCGACTCGTTGCACAGCTGGTTCAACAGCTCTGGGATCCGCACGCTGCAATCATAGGATGCACGCGCGCGTTGCACATTTCACAAGCACTTTAAATAAAATCAAATAAAATGCGGTGAAATAGGACAGAATAAAATATAATAAATTGAACTCAAATAAAGTGCAATAAATTAAAATCAAATAAAATAGATTATATTAAAGCCAAAATAAATACAATAAATTATTGTCAAATAAAATTCAATAAATTAAACTCAAATAAAATACAATAAATTAAATTCAAGTAAAATACAATAAATTGAACTCGGATAAAATACAATAAATTAAATTCAAATAAAATACAATAAATTAAAGTCAAATAAAATACAATAAATTAAAGTCAAGTAAAATATGATAAATTGAAGTCAAATAAAATACAATAAATTAAAGTCAAATAAAATACGATAAA